AACCACAACCACAACCACAACCACAACCACAACCACAACCACAACCAACCAACCAGCCAACCAACCAACCAACCAGCTTCATTAGCTTTAAAAAAGCTGCAGCTTCAAAAACGTAACGACGTAGCTTTAAAAAAACTAGTGTCCTACAGAGTCCTAGGTAGTTAAGTTAAATTAAGGATTACTTATAAACGTAGGCACCCCTCACATACGTGTGCATATTATGGCACATATCATGTGCGCGCAACAAGTCAGACACGGAGCGGCACGAGCACGAGCACGCAGCAGAACGCCCACCTGAACAGTGTACATGTGTGTAAGGCACGCCGCGGCAGACAACGACACCGTGAGGAGCTCGTAGACACGGTAGATGTAGGTGTGGGCGTTAGGTCGCTCCGCCCTTCGTTCAGGTCCACTGACAAAATGACCTGTTCGTCCTCCAGGTTGACCTCCCTTGTCGAAGCAGACTTGCTGCGAAACGTGCTGTAGGGGTTTGCTGTCAACGCAGTGACCCCGGCCTGTTAGACGCTACCTCTTGCAAGCCATCCACAAGATTGACAGCACGACCGCCAGTCATCTGGACCGGGCACACTCGGCCACCGGCGAACATAGTGCTCCGTAAAGCGTGGATGATGTTGTAGCATCTTCGCCTTCATATCTTGGGCCGCATCGTCAGTCCTCATCACGCGGTCTGAGTCTGATAAGTGGCTCCAGCGGGCATCGACATAGATGACTCGGCGGATGCGCCGCAGTTCGATCCGTTCGCCACTATTGGCTGCGTCCAATAGCAGGACCATGAAGGCCTGCCCATGACAGTTGCTGACCGTCATTCAAGTCAGTATGGCACTTATGCCCTGGTGCGACCGCGATAGTCTTTGAAGTCTTTGTAGCTGCACGCAGCCTCTGGCCAAAGTCGATGGCCTGCAGTGCCTCCAGTACAACATTCGACTGTTCAGTACAACATGTCCGTCGCCAGGAGCTCAGCGAATATATATATATACAACAATCTCTGTCGCCTCAATCTCGGTGAATTAAGAAGGGCCAAAAGCACGCGTGCTTAATAAAAGTAGTAAGCCTATTAACTATTATTACATAACGGAATCAGCAGCGACACTTCGTTCCAATTCTCTGTCAGATCAAATCTCTGCAATGCACGGCAACTCAAAAAATCTCTTCCATTCCCTTCAACTCAAAAAATCTCTTCCCTTCATTCATTCATCTTCTCTTCTCAATTCAATTCTGCCATTGGCAATTGTTTTTTTTTCTCGGGGGGCCCCTGCCAGCTTCCCCGGATAGTGTGCGGCCACGCCGCCCACTTCCGGGAACTCCCGATCACAATCACAATCTCATCGGGGGGCCACCTGCCAGCTTCCCCGGATAGTGTGCGGCCACGCCGCCCACTTCCGGGAACTTCCGATTGTTTTCTGTCAGCAAATCAGAGAGAGAGAGAGAGAGACAGAGTTCCAGGAACTCCCGATGGTTTTCTAGCAAATCACAAATCAGAGAGAGAGAGAGTATTGTGGGAACTCCTGATGGTTTCCTGTGGGTCTCTTTTCGCGATCTGCGAAAAACAATTTATGCCAGCTAGTCTCTTGCACTTCTCAAACCTCAGGTGTGTAAGTTGTGACCATAGGTCCCAAAACATGGTTTGCGAACATGGTTTGAGTGGCATGGTTGACAATATGGACGAAACCCGGCCTGGAAACCCTGGGACCCTGGTTCTGGTTCTGGTCTAGCGGGGTTGACACCGTCGACGAAACCCGGAAACCCTGGCTCTAGTGACTCTGGTTCTGGTCAGTGTCAAAACAACTTACCAGGCTGCAGTGGCATGGCAAACTAACTATGGTTATATAAGGTTATGTTACACATGGTACATTATATTCATGCTTATGCGTCAACAACTTTACTGCAATCCGATATTCCTAGAATGTATTCCTTTTCTTTGCATTATTTTCCCTTTTCCTCGTTTTCATTGTTGTCACTTTTTGTTTATTAATATGCGTTTCCTTTTCTTCCTTTTTCATGTTCCTCCCTTTCATGTTCTTTTCGCAACGTGGACGTGTCCCCCTTTTTTTTGTTGTTGTTTTTTTTGGCATTTGTCCTTTTCCTGTGAGTCCTTGTCAATTTGTTCTTGTTCTCCTTTTCAATGTTCCTTTGCCTTTTTCTTGTGTGCATCCGTGCATCCTTTCCTTTTTCCAGGGGCTTCCTTCTCTTTGTTGGGTCTTGTTTTTCATTTCCCTTGTGTTGATTTCCTTTTCCCCTGTTCCTCCCTTTCATGTTCTTTTCTGCCTTGTTTTGTTGTTTTTTTACATGTTTTTGTCCAAACTGGTTTAAATGGTTTTGCACAATCCAGTTAATTCAGTTTTCTTTTTTGTTGAAGTGACCATAGTGACTCCAAGATGTTTGAAGCACCTAAAACAGCCTGAAATAAAATTATTCGCGAAATTTAGCACTTAACGGTGATGCATCCGTTCTCTGGGTTCACAGCTTACCGTGTCTACTAATTACAGCTGACGTGTGACCCTTTAGAGTCTGAAGTGACCCTGGTTCCGACCCCTCAAGGTTCGGACCTTTCAAGGGTCGCTTTGAGGAACCAGGTATACGGTAGAAGTCCCTAGGGCTCCTGGCCCACCTCCTGAGAAGGTGGTTGGGGTGCGTTTTTGGGGTCTAACCACCTTCTGAGGATATATGGTTGGAGCCCTAGGGAGTATATAATGGTGTATATATATATATGATGTGTTCTAGATGTGTTGCTGGATCCTGCTTCACGATTCAGAGTCTTGTTTCTGATGGGTTTTTATTTTCGGAAGATGTCCTTCTTCTGCCAGAACCGTCAATTCTTGGTGTCCAGGTGCAGCGGAAGGCAATAAACAGATCCTTGGTTTCTAGCGCAGCCTCTATGTAGTGATCACTGACACATCATGCATCCATTGGGAGGTGTTGACACCCTCATTCCCACAAAGATGCCCAAGGACAAAGGTCGGCATTGACATCGCAGAGATAAGCTGCGACAAGGACCCGTGACCGTTTCAACATGTTTCAACGGTTGGCTGAGCCAGAGCAGGTGGATGGCGTTTGTGCACCAAAAAAGCCCGGAGATTACAAGCTCGAAGCACCTGATAAATCCTAAGACTGGCAAGCTGTGGCCCATCTGGGAGCTGTCATTCTGGTCATGCTGGTGCTTCCCACCTATGACTACTGCAGGTGTTTCACCCCTCCACCCCTTCACCCCCAGCTGCCCCGCTCTCCCACGCGGATCGCGGGGGAAGGATGCTGCAAAGACCGTGGAGCTGATCAAAGAGAAGTTCAAGGATGAGTTGGATTTTGTTGAGCTAGATGAAGCCCTGCTGCAGGAAAGCTTTGGGCACACATGCCCTTCCGAAACATGTTGCCATGGTCTTGGTCAACACACTTCCGATGTTCACCAGCTAGCTGTGCTTCAATTCTGTCCACTGTCACGACCATCACCCAAATTGACTTGCAACATGTTTAATCCAACGGAGCAGCAGACCTGTTGCTTCTGTTCCATGGTTGCAGACCTGTTGCTTTTTCCAAGGAACAGATCTATTCTCCGTTGCAAGCCTTAGCCGTCGTGGATCCTTTGTGGGCCACGCCACTCGTCGATGTGCACGATCCGATCGAGTCGTTGCCTTCAAGCTTGAAAGGTGTCAACACATCACAAAAACAACCACAACCACCACCACAACCACGACAACAACAGCAACAACAAGGCGGTATATGACATCCCCAATGGGGCGTGACATCCAAAGCATCAAGCTGTTTCGGAGCTGCTCCCAGCTCGGCACCGTGTTCGTTTTGCCCGAGGCAGTGGGGTGCCATTCGTGTGGGCTTTTTCGGTGCTTGGCAAGTCTTGGAGGATTTGGATGTGGAGCCCAGTGAGGTGCCAGGGGCCTTTTGGTGACTGGAGGGGTTGCTTGGTGGGAACATTGGACGTTCGGTGTGGGTTTTGAAGATGGTTTCGTGAGAGAATGAGAGATGAGGAGGGATGTATAGGGGTGCAATATTGATGGCAGGATTCCTTTAAAAATGCCCTAGGGAGCTGGCTGACTTGCCACCCTTCGAAGGTGTGGTGGTTTTGAACGAGGTATGTCATCACACTTCAGTGGGATGTGTGAACAAGAGTGTGAAGTTGATAAGGGTCATTTCGTGTGGAGCGGGCACCAGAGCAATCCCTCCTTGTTGCTAGCTTGAGAACGATGTGCTTTTGTTGGGCCCTCAGAACAAGCTTGCTGCAAGCACTGATCCCTGTCAACCCAAGACCTGTCCAAAGAAGGATTCACCCAAGGCAAAGGTCTCAAACGCCTCAAGTCCCTGTGGGGATGTTCCCAAATGCACCATAAAATCGAAATAGCGGCAACACCTCAAGACACGGACAGCAGTGTCCAGCACGCTGTGTGATCCTGTAGGCCAGAAAGCAAGGAGACAAAACTCTCAAGCATGCAAGTAACCATGACAATAAACCTTAATCCCCAACTCACCCGTATTTGCATGGAAACCGCACAAATATGATGTAGGTCCTCTCTAGTTTGATCGCCTCAAAAACGCGATCGACACGGGCCCAGATCCCTGGTCCAGGTGGTGGTCGCATTGATCGACACGGGCTTGAACTTCAATCATGAAGACCTGCAAGGCAACGAGCAACGGGCGGCAACGGTGCATGGGTTTCTTGGGTGATGGGCCTGGAATGGATTTCTCCTCCCTCTCTTTCAAACAGGCCACACACAGCAAACGGTATAAGTACTGTAAACACACTCTAATGCCCAATGCCCTATCTTCCTTTTTTGCATTGAGAATGTCGCCTGGGTTCGCCATTTCAAAACCTACAGCCGGCCAGTGGAGGCCGCAGAGACCCACTCATGATCACAGACCGCGGGCAGACCTCTCGCGCATACACTCGCGGCCAGGGCGAGTGTGGGTGAATCCTGGAGAGATTGCTGGAAATGGCATCGATGATGACGGCAACGGTGACTTGGATCACTCACTGCCCCCCACCACAGTGACCAGGAGAAAAACCAAAGGAGTCCGAATCCAAAGTTTCAGAACGAAGGGCCTGTAGTGACTTAGTGGATCCTAGTGATGGAACGTGTGGAACATGGAAATTGCATCGCAATAAGGCATTTGATGGGTCAGAGACAGATGCAAGAAGTGTTATAAAGTGCACAGTAAAGTTAAGTGCATGTTATTTGCATATACGATCATATACGTTTAGATATGTTTAAATCAGCATGTCCCAAAGCACCAGGGATGCCCAGGGATGCATGTGCGACCATGCAGCTCCCTCTCAATGCTTATCCTGTGTATATTTTTAGTTTAATCCAATTTGTTGACCCCAGACTACGATGTTTGCTGCTGATTCAGCTGTGCCAAGGTTTTATCGATGATGTGAATGGTTTCAACTTTGTAGCACCTCAGATGCAGAAGTTTGCAGGGCTTGATTCAATAAATGTCTTTGCCACTTCGAAGTGCGTTTGGAAGTTTGATAGGGATTGGGGACATTCGAAGATTATCTCCATGTTGGGTGATTTGATCTTCATGTTGACATATGTTGACAAAAATAACTGTATGACCAGTTCGACCAGGGCTTTCACCTTTCACCAGGGCCGCATGTCTTTAGCTGCTCCTCCTCATCAGACTTGTTGCTAGACTGCTAGACAATTTCCGAGGATAACAATGGTAGCCCAGAAGACGATGGAGGCCATGGCACTCACAATGCCGGTATCATCGCTGCGCAACTCAACAACTTGGGCGTCGCAGGCGACGCAATGGGCGGAGGGTGTTTGGGTCGACGAGTTTGACCATGTTCTGAGAGAATCTGGCAGCCAGTTTGACTTTTTCCAATCTACTCGGACTCACGCGAATCTACACAAAATACACACATATATACTTGCTTTGGTGATGTGCAGCAGAATATATTTGGCCGCTGGCTGATGGGTCGCCACATGTCGCTACTCGGGAGGTGCCGCTGGTCGGAACCAGAAGGTGAAGTTGATGATTGTCAAGGTGGGGCATCGCTACGAACGTAGCAAGGACGCTACTGTACGTTCGGGGCTCCTGGCCGTACTACTAGGAACAAGAAGCTACGTTCGGGGCTCCGGGCATCGCTAGGAGCGATCGGACGCTTTTCCCACTTAACAAGGGCATCGCTACGAACATAGCGTCCGGATGCTACGAACGTCAAGGTGGGGATCAGACGCCAGGGAGCCGGCCGACGCTCATTGGAAGGAGACCTCAAAAGCCTCAGGGCTCAACCGCTTGCCTTCTCACAACTCTGCCAGGTGTTGCTAGGGTTATATATATATATGTGTTGAGGAAGCTAAGCTTTCACTGGGTACGATCCAAACAAATTATGAAACACATGGAACAAAAATAGGCAAACAATTGGAACAACAAAAAGGAACCAGAATTTGGTTCAGCTCAGAAGCTGGGTCCTGGCAATGGACAGGGAATCAGGGTGTCTGGGTGCGCGACCTGGGGGTAGGGGGTCTAGGCCGGTAACAACCCTCCCAAAGCGCACCCCAGCCGGGTCTACCCAGTGTCCCACAAAAAGCAGCCAACTGTTCCGAGAATTGCAATTCTTGCCGAAACCTTGAAAAAGAACAATTCGGAACAAATTGCCTATCTTATTCTCGTATTGTTGTCCTATATCTTGCTACTGTTTGTGCTTTAATGTTTGAATATATTTTTCTTTTGCCATTTCCAGCTCTCAGCTTCATGCAGCTCAACAGGCTAGGGTCAAGTATTAGTATATGGCACATCCTTCACAATGAAGAAGTTCCAACATAGTTCTCATTGGTTTCCATGTGTTTCCATATGTCTTTATTCTGAAATCAGTGGAACTACCTGGGTTTTCGACCGTGTCCCCCTCGGCTTGGCACGCCGGACGTCTCTCGGGACGTCCCTGTCAGGCGCTGACCAAGAATGGCGGCTACAAGAGCGATGCGATCGAGGCGGCCACCCACAGATGTCAGGGATGTGCTGTTTCTTTTTATGTTGCTTGTCTTAGAAATTGAAGCCTTTCAGTCCTTTATCCTTCGAAACCAGATATCATCCGATCTCAGGACATGAAACGGCTGGGACGTAGGCTGTGGAGCCCGTCGTTGGATCCCGTCGCCACCGGTCTTCGATGGGCCGGGTGGATTTCTCTGCAGGCGCTCAACTATGCGATGGCTATGGGTGTCACTTGGAAGAGATGAAGGTGATTCTTTCCAGAGACTTACATGTAGCCTCAGGCTGCAGCCCTGTTTTTTCTTAACCTGTTTAGCTTCTGTGTTTGCTTAGTTAATTGAATCAAAGGGGGTGTGTTTTGGTTGACCTTGCCAAAAGCTACGCTTTAAGAGTGGGAGCAGGTCAAGATTCCTCTTTATGAAGATGAAGTTTGTTACCAACGAATTGAAAAGGTCCATTCTTTCGCAGTTGCTGGCAGACTATGGGAATGTGTGTTTGACTCCGGCACATTCCACGCGCCTGCAAATGCTTTCCGCTTCAAGCTTAGGCCGTCAATCTTCCACAAGAATAATATATCTCCACCCACTTGGACAAGAAAGAGTGATAGTTCCTCCCCCAGCTGCCCTTTGTTTCGCCTTCCATCATCTTCCCTTCGAAAAGTCCAACCAACCACCGTCACACGGTCCACCAGACGCACGACGGTCCCAAGGCGGAAATCTCCAGCAATTCCTGGGGCGGCCACAGCGAGTCCTCGGCGCTGCAAACGGCCATCCAGGCCCTCCGATCTCCGGACGCCGGTGGCGGGCGATGCCTTCCTGTTGTGCGCTGAGGATGGGCATGTGGTGCTTTGAAGACGTGACTTCAAAGGGGGAACCCCCATGTATTGACCGGCATGACTGTGGGCACATGTTTCTCGGCTTCGACTGGGTGTGAAACACACCGCCAGGTGGCAATGGAGGCCGGTCATCTCTTTGCACCTTGGATCACCGGTGTTGGCCATTAAAAGGCTAAGTCTGAAGCGGTGTTTCTTTGGTGATCTCTTTTCACCTCTTGGTTCTTTGGGCCTCACGGGTTTTTTGGAGAGTAAGTCCTCTCACATTCGTATTTCAAGGTATTCTGCTGTTCAATTGTTGATATTGTTGCCCTTGGAAGGGGTATTGGGATGGATGCCAATGCTGTGCTCTTCTTTCTTTGGACAGCTTTGAGACGTTGATTGTGGAAGCTGCACAACAACTGATTATGGATGCAATCACTGGACCCATTTCACTGTCCGTTACTGCCGTACTCAGTACAGTATAGAATAGATGTTCGGCGATCTCTTGTCTTGTCGCACGACCCGAGCCTGGAGCATCTATAGGTTGAGACCCAGACTACGATAGGGGCATTCGGGGATCACCGGTTTGCAGCCACGAGGTTTCCGCTGCGGGGAACGACAATGCCAACGCGGACGCCTCACCTTTCTACCCCTGCGTATATCCACATGTGCCTGGTCCAAGCATCAGCTTCAAGAGTCAGTTGGACACATTGAAATCATTCTGTCTGTGCTGTGTGGGTGTTTAATTTAACAACATTGTGGACACCAACCAATGATTCAGAGGAGTGTTCTGAAAAGCAACCCACATTCGGAAGCTGACCAGCACATGATTGGTGAACCCTGAAGAGCAGAGCAGGGCAGAGCAGCGAGCCAGTTCTGCTGCCATCCTGGTCCAGCTTCACTGAGAAGTATAGCTTTATACACTCCCCGGAATCATCATGGCTACGTGGGTGGCCTCACCCCAAAGTTAATATCAGACCATTTTTATCCAAATTCTATATAGGTGATGAACTCCGCGTAACCATGAAGATCCCAGGGAGTGTGTGTCTCTACTTCCGCCAAACCGAGTCGCACGAAGGTGCTGTGCGTGGCCGCCTCTGATGACCAGGTCGGACCACGCGAAGCATCGCGAAGCGGGGTCAGTGGATGGGGTGGCGCTTCATAGGCAGCGGATGGTCACCGCCTACCAGGGGTCGGCCACAATTACTATCTATGAGCAGAGCAAGTATCAACAAGCAACCAATCTACCAACAGGCGCCTTTGTTTAGTCTATAGTGATTTCTCCTTTGGCCTAGTCAATCCAGGAGCAGTTCACCTTCTTCTCCAACTACGGCGTGGCGAGCGTGGAGCTGATCGCCCCAGGGCAGAACATCCTCAGCAACTCGGCGATCATATGGATGAAGATCCACATTTCGCTCGTCGATCCGCAGCAACAAAGGCAATTTTGTTTGAGATCATGAGCCATGAGCATTCCCAGATCCGCTTTTTTCGCAGTCGTCGGAGCCTGTTTACATCTAACGAAACAAGACATTAGCAACATATAGCGTAATCGGATAGTACATTTAAAACAAAAATAAACATGTCAGCAGTCAACCCCCGAGCAGCATTTTGGAGGCTTGGGCCCACGCAGTTTTGGGAGCAGATGGTTCTGAACGGCTTTAAGGCTGTTGCCTTCCGATGTGAGACCCCCACCGCTTCCCCTTGTCGTAGTTAGCCCTTGCGAGTCCAACGTATTGCCAATCCACTAGTGGACCTGTTGACTGCTCGAGCTCTCAAACTTTGCTCCTCGGTAGAAAAAAAGCTTCTGCCAGGCAATTGGGTTATAACATGGGCTTGGGTCAAGATTCCATGATATCTCTACATTGCTTGGAATGTACGCCCCAAAACACTAGAAATCTGATAACTTCAGAGGTATTTCATTTTTTGAATTATCTCCCATGGTCTTTTTAGGTGTTCAATAGGTCTTCAACCACATGTCTTGGATGATCTGACACAGATCCCAACAACAGAAACACCAACCGCCTCGACCCTCCCTCCTGAGGTAGCTACCTGGGCAACACGGAGTATGCCTCTCTCACGGGCACCTCCTTCGGAACGTCCATGGCCCTTCGGAGCGACGGTCGGACCGGAAACGACGTTGGCCGTTGGACCGGAATCGTCCCCCCCCCCCGTTGGAGCGGATCAGTCCTGAAAGTGTTTTGAACTCTTTGAAAGCTCAATAGGAAACGACTGTTTTGAACCACTCCGAGATCACATCCTCACCATCCCAAGGCTGTTCGATGGTGACTCTCTCGGGCGGGCGCTTTAGGTGGCGGGCGCTGCGGCGCTGCTGTATAGCTGGCTTCGGAGTGCCACGAGCACGGTGAAATCGGTGGAGGACCGTTCCAGGGGATTTGGAACGACAGTCACCGAAGCCGTCCAGAAGCCGGGCCCAGGCACTAGAGTCACTGAGCTTGACTGCTTGGCCTCAAGGAACACACCCTCAATATTCCCTCAATTACAATGGTCCGTATCGGTGGTGAAACAGGTAGTGCACTGGAGAGTGCATGGTTTATAGTTTATTGGTTTCGCACCAAAGGATCAAAGGCCCACCCTGCCAGCTGCCTTGAAGTTCCAGATTTGGTCGTCGGTTCTTTGTTGTTCGTGGCATTGTCCGTTTCTGCATGTTTTCGCCAAGGGTTCTGAGAAGTTTGTTGCTTATCACGTAGATCAAGTACCAAGTATTGTGCCCAGCACCTTACATTGCAAGCAGCTTTGAATCATCCAGTCGTCAAAGCTTTGCGTGTGCAGAGGATATCCGCTGGCTGCTGTTGGAGACAGCCGAGAAGTTGTCTGCTGGCAGAGAATCATCCAATGTGTTTTTGGGGTTATGTTGGCATTGGCGTATGTCGAAGCACTCCGCAGAGCACTGCGAGTTGATTCTGAAACGTTCGATTTTGTTTTGCTAATCCTACACTGAAAATCAATCACCTTTGGTCCAAGGCCCAGATTTCTGGTCCATAATCTTTAGATTTGTTGGAGAAGTGAACGACACTCAAGGTCCTGGACAGAAGGCTTCGTGGGCAACGGCATGCCACTTGGCGCAATTCATGTCTCCAAGGAGTGTCGTTCAGCGAACTGACATCCCGAGTATCTCAGTATCCTTTTTGTGAGCTATTTGGAGGTTTTCCTGGTTGTTGTGAAACACCGTTGTCAGCATCGAACCCAAGCAAGCTCGAGCAAGCTTTTCAATATGTAAGAAATTCTGTTTGCAAACAAAGAAATGAACACTGAAAGTAAGACCGAGTTCCTTTCTACAGACGCACAAACGGGATCCATCAACCAAGTGTCATTCAGGTTCTTTTCTTTTTGTCCACCAACAAAACCGCGTGCGTGTTCCTCACATCCTTCACGTGCTTGAACAGTTTTCCACATCCATCGCTATTAGGTCGGAGGCCATCGCTACTAGGGTGGAGGCCATCGCTAGTAGGTTGGAGGCCATTGCTATTAGGTTCCAAGCGTGTCAAAAGTGTTCTGAGAAAGATCAGCTGAGGCTGGATGTGGATGCAGCCGCCACAAAGGCATTGTCAGGAGAGGCTTCACATGTGTCAGGATGTTCGCATGTTGTTTGATAGCAGAAATCAGTGAACAGGAGCATATCATTCGAAAGATGCCGTGTATCAACATGTAATCTAAGTCTTCAGATTTGATCAGATCCCCGGGTAGATATCCCACTCCCACAAGAGAGTGAGCAGCAGTGTGCTTCCAACATCACCCGACTATATAAGCCAACCATAACTAACCAACCATGCGAAATTTCAGCAAATCCCCTCCAAACCTCCCTGTCCGATTCTTTGCAGGTATTGGCTATAGCTGGCTGGTTGGCCCCTGGAGCTCCTGCCGCCGCGCGAGCTGTAGCTCCCTGCAGGGCCTCCGCTGGCGCAACGTGAGCTGCGTGAGCAGCAACGGCACCGAGGCGCCCGGAGAAGGACGGAGAGGGACCGGATTTGATGGATGAATGGGAGGGTGATGGAGGGTTGGAAGGGTTTTAAGATGTTACAAGGAAGAAATAGATGGAAGACATGGAGATGGCCATACTACTCGGCTCCAAGACTGGACATTAGACGAGGTTTTTGGAGTGCTTGACAAGCATAGAGACGTTCGGAAGATTGGGATGCAAGGGCTAAGTCAAGTTGCTGAACGCAAGCATCCAGCTTAATATTCAGGTGTGAGAATTCTGCTCCCAACGTTCAGGTGAGCACAGTGGAATGCAGCGGAGAGCCTGAATGCCAGGAGTGGTGGTGGTTGGAGTTGGCCAAACTGTTGGACTATAGAAGTCCGAACGAAACCAAACTCTCTTTTGGAGTGAGTACAGTTCCAACCAAGAAGATCCAAGAAGCTTCCTCTCAGGCAGTTCATCAGCTTGTGAACTAGTTGTGCAAAGCTCTGAAATGCAATAATCGCAGAATTTTCTTCCTTATCGATCCAGAATCCGCGCATGAAACTGTATGGTCTGCTGAGCTGCATTGTTTGGGTAGAGAAACATCATAAGACTTTCATTTGAACCACTAGGATCCGACCCTGGAACTCCAGGGCGGGGGAGACATGGGGATCTCCCGAGGTCCTCGGGTTCTCCATCCGGTGGGTTCCGGTAGGACAACGTTCGAAGTTGGAGAGACTCCTATGATGCCACCTGCAGTTCCTCGGATCGAAAGCGACGGACTGCGTCAGCGCTTTCACCTCTGGATGAAGCGATTGGAAGTTTCATTGTCCTACCTTTGGAAAGACACGATCCGAAACGAACACGATGGTAGGAACTGATTGACAGTATGTTTTAAGGAAAGACAGCTTGGCAAACGATGCACACGATGATGATGCAGCAAGGGTTGTGGATGGTTGTGCTATGTGCAAGTGTTTTAGAGGAATCACTTGTTTCCTACAAGTAGAGGTTTCCTTAAAATTACTTAAATACAATGACTTTTGTTTGTTGCGAGAATTGGGCTTTGAAGATCACATCCTGTCAGAGCAGCTCTTCGGTCTTGGGTCTTTGAAATCGAAACCGAGGCATCTACGAGAGCTACCAATGGTGTACGTCCACAGGTGCATATGCGCTCTAGTGCGCACTTGTGCTGATTAGATCTACACTCGGGATCAACATACTCCCACGTTTTTCCTTCCTATCATGCAAGATTCATGTTTCACAGATGTGCGGCTTGCCAGGAACCTCCCCAAGTGACCAAGCGAATGCATGTCATTTATTTACAAAAGCTCTTTGACATGTTCCTCCAGCAGCAACCCATGCTTGTTGCGCAGCACAGGTGGCTACGGAAACGGCTGGCAGGTGACCTGGGGTTCCTTCCAGGACGGATCTTTCCTCCAACAACCCGTTTTGGTGAACTCCCAGGGCAAAAACATGTTCCTCCATCAGTCATATGGTGATCCAACGGCAAGATCTATAGATATTCAAACAGCAACAAAGGAGGAACGGCATGGTGAACGGATGTGACCGGATGTGCAAACATCATGAGGAAGACATGTGTGTGTGTGTGTGTCACACCCTGGTTCTAAGGGTTTTCCACCTTTCCACTACCACCGAGATCGTTCCTTTCTTTTTCCATTGATGTGAATTCATCACAGGCAGGGGGGCAAAGCCTCCAGCGACGAACCTTGCCCAACGAAGCTAAGTCGCTGGAGGGTAAGCACTGAGAGACGTCTCAGTGTGTACCTGCCGAACAACTGTTGCACACGCTGTCCACTTTTGCTGTTTGTTTCCATGGTGGTTCATGATACTTCCCCCAAACCTTTTTCCTTTCAGCCACTTGCAGCAGCCACGCGTTTTTTGCAGCCTTTCACCGCAGTCGCTCGCGTGTTTCTGCAGATGACAACTTTCAATGTTGAAACACCTTCAAGTTTTCGGACCTTTCACCATGCCGTTCCATCACCTTCCTTCCCATCGTGACAACTGAATATAACTGAAAACCCAAGTTCGAAGTGTGACCCGCTCAGTCTTCCCACTCGGGTACTGGGTGTGACCCTCCGAAAGGAGGCGCTGCTATCATTCCGGAAAGCATCGTTTTTTCTTTCTTATAACTGACCCCACGTTTTCCATTTTATCCCTGAATTCCCTGATTTTCGAGCCGCCGGGCTATAAGCGAGGAACTTTCCACTCAACGCTCCGACATTCATTCGTGTTGTGCATTGCTGCGTTTTCTCCAACTTCAATTTAATTTCCCACCCGCAGCCATTTGACCGACGATCAACGCATGCATGCTCACACCCCGGAGATTACAATGCATGCCAATTTTTCAAGCTAATTAATTTTCATGCTACCGCTGCGGCTGAAGCTTTGGTCGACCTCTACGCCCAAAAAGGGCATGACCTGCACGCGTGCAGGCGGTTTTTGAGAAAAAAGACTTGCGTTTTCCACCGCTCGCTCTGTGCGCCGATCACGGCGTGTTGTGTGTGTCACACCCTGGCTCTAAGGGTTTTCCACCTTTTCACCTTTCCACTACCACCGAGATCGTTCCTTTCTTTTTCCATTGATGTGAATTCATCACAGGCAGGGGGGCAAGGCCTCCAGCGACGAACCTTGCCCAACGAAGCTAAGTCGCTGGAGGGGAAGCACTGAGAGACGTCTCAGTGTGTACCTGCCGAACAACTGTTGCACACGCTGTCCACTTTTGCTGTTTGTTTCCATGGTGGTTCGTGATACTTCCCCCAAACCTTTTTCCTTTCAGCCACTTGCAGCAGCCACGCGTTTTTTGCAGCCTTTCACCGCAGTCGCTCGCGTGTTTCTGCAGATGACAACTTTCAATGTTGAAACACCTTCAAGTTTTCGGACCTTTCACCATGCCGTTCCATCACCTTCCTTCCCATCGTGACAACTGAATATAACTGAAAACCCAAGTTCGAAGTGTGATATCCGCCTGGAAAAGCCGGCATAGAAATGGAGACAGATGTGCCACTGGTCTTTGAGCGCAAGCGAAGTTTCATGACCTAAGACTCCAGACCTCTGAATGTTTTCATGAAACTTGTTTAGAAGTCGACCCGTCATGGGCCATGGGTCGCTCTAATAACGTTCTAAAACCAAGGTCTCATGACTTGGTTATCATTCTAAAGTTCCTTTGTCTAGTTTGGTTTGCCCGATCACTCCTGTGGTTCTGCCGGTGTTTCTTCAATTCTGCCCTCTTCTGCACAAGCTCTTCCTGTAATCAAGTGTTGTTTCTCTTGGCGAAGTAGCTTTCTATGCCTTACGTTTGGATTGTTCTATTCTTTTGTACTGCCAACAAATCGAAGAGTAGGGTGAAAAGCACTGAGATCCACAGCTCTACAGGCAGAAGAAGCAGTGGAAATGACTGGTGCCACCCAGTATGGCCTTTAGTAGCGCCTTTAGTTAGTCAAGGTTGCGAACAGTTGGCCAACTTGATTGTCCCCAACTCCGTCACCCATATTAGTGATGGTGCCTTTAGCCATTGCAGGTCCTTGACCAACTTGACCATCCCCACCTTACTGACCTGCATTAGATTTTGCGCGTTGAATACTGCAGCTCTTTGACGAGCTTGACCATACCAGACTCAGCGACCCACATTGGAGAATTTGCCCCTAGCAATTGCAGTTCTTAGATGAGTTTGACAATACCAGACTCAGTGGCCTACATTGTGAATTGTGCCTTTGCGAAGTGCCCTTCGATGAAACGAAGGAATGCAGCTGATGTTGGAATGTATCTATTCAATGTTTCAATGGAGTCTTTTTCCTTTGTTGTCAAAAGGATTGCTTGTCAAGTTGTTTGACATGGGTATATATTGGGTACGGCTGAAATCCACGCACAGAGCATGCAGATCTGTGATATGCGACAGATGTTTTCAGCCAACATCAAGTTTTGTGGAACATGGAACCACCCCAAAACATGACATGATCATCTTGGGTCTGTTTTTGCTATCCCTCCAGGGCCGCAAGAGCTCCTTTCAGCTACCCATGCTTTGTCGATCCAGGCATGCATTCGATTTTCCAGTCGACCTTCTTCACCTATCCTCACTTCATCCACCGGTCACCTCAAGGGTCCACGGTCGACAGGACTATGCAGTGGATGGCTACGATGCAACGGAAGTTTGCTGTGCTTGTGGCAGCGGCACCATCGAGGCATCCAATGTGCCTTACTCGAGTCAGGACGGTGACGCAAAGCGCGAAACAACAAGCGCGCAAGACCGATGGAGCCCCGGTGGCCTTCGCAAGCTTGTGACAGGTGAATGACGTGAAAGGTCGTGAATGTTTGGTTTTGGATCATTTCTTCTTTGTGGTAAGAAGAACCTTTTCTGAACTGCAACCCCCTGTCAGGGTGCTGGCCCCTCACAGCAAATAGGACCAAATATAGATATGCATTCATATATGCTTGACCTATATCATTCAAGTGGACATTCAAGTTCTACAGTTATTTTATCTACTGTTGGTCCAGGTCCCATCTCTTTCACCGTTGTTTGCTTGGCGGAGCGCCAAGCTGAGCTCGTCCATCAGTCGAAGCAGGAGTGTCCTGAGCCCATCAGCGGCCCAGATGCCAACAACGACGGCCTGGATGATTGCATCGTCCCTGTCGTGACGACCACCACATTGGCCGGCAGCTGCGGGTGTCCTAGGGTGTAAGGTGAAACTCATGGCATACTATTATGGTACCTATGGACATATCAGTAACATATTTCTAGGTAATGTAAAGAAAGTTGTGGAACTTGCGTGTGCGTGTGCAATTACAGTATGTTTGTCTGTGTGTGTGCAGCAAATACTCTTGTTTCCATACGGATGCCATTTGTGATATGGAGTGCTTTCTGTATGGATTCGACCATCTTCTGAGCAGTGCCATTGACCTGAAGAATGTTTTACCTCCACATGCTGGCCATGTTCCACACGATGTCACTATGCAAGAACCCTGTATAATATATCCCCTGTTCCAGACAAGAAAGGTGAACACCGACTTATTGGACATATCCACCACTTTCGCTTTGTGAATCCTCATGAAACCAACCAAACCCCTACACCCTCCACAACCGTTCCGACTCTTTGACTCCTCCAGACGGCGACCGACACCAGCGTCACAGCGACCTCGGTGACGCAGAGCACGGTCACCCTGACCAGCCAGCGTCTCGACCGTGACCCACGGAAAACCCGGCGGGTTGGGCCCCGTTGGGCACAACTGGGATCCCCCCCACTGGTCTTTGAATGTTGGAGGCAAAAATCCGACGGACTAATTGGAAGGGCTCATTTCTTGGACCTGCCTCACCAGATTCATGTATTGTTCCGAAGTGATTTAGACTAAGTGTAGTATGATGTAGTATGTCTAATTCCGCAGCAGCAAGAGATCACTCTTTTGGTGATCGTGTTCGGATTTGTTCACTCAAGCATGCCCCCAGACTTCACATTGGGGTCAACCATGGTAACCATGGTCAGGATTTTGCACTTATTGATATGTCCTGACCAGACATGCTGATTAAAGACCAGCAACTCATCATCTCATAGCAACTGATTCAAGAGCAGGTGAGCCCGGCGTGTTTCTTCTTCTTCAGCCTGTTATAGCCTTCAGCTGTCCAGCAACTCCTCCTCGCATCAGTCGGCGACTAGGACAGCGACCAGCACCACCTCCTCGACTCGAAGTAGCAGCACGGGGACCACGTTTTTCGATGGCATGGCTTAAGGGAGAAAAGACTGGGCTCTTTCATTTCTTTGGATGGCTTATGTGTTTGTTGCATGGAGTTCTATATGGTTTATGATGTTTCGTGGATGAAATATATGTTTTTGTATGTTTTTTTCTTTGGTGCCCGAGGAGGTTAAGACGTTAGACGAGTTAGTGGATTGGTTGAGAACTTGCTGAGTGGCCGGTAACCGCACAGTGAAAACAAGCTTGTATAGGTCTTTCGTTCACTGTTTGGGCCCATCAAGTTCAGGTTGCTGATCCTCCTGCGTTTCATCCAACCTGGGCTGTGCAAAGCTTTGCCCAAACCCCAAAGTCAACATGGAATTGAGGTGACTCCATGCAAAGTCCTTTGGGAGGACCACCTTTCGTTCAGTTAAGATATGTTAAGATTGAAGAACAAGTAGCAAGCTGCCATGGGAACTAATTAGATTCTGCGTAACATGGAGAAACGTGCTCACATGTCATTCAAGATGACACAGCACAAATGAGAAGTGTACCAAACAAGGCCGTTGCATCTCAAAGAAAAGGTCCGCATGGTAGCGGAGCCTGAGAAGCTCCCTTAGGTGGGAGTGGAGGCTCCAGGTTGAGCGTGCCACGCCATAGGCAATCATAGCTAGTGGCTCCCTCGACTACACGATCACTACACCCGCAGGACCACATCCACCTGATCTCGGAGGCCCTTGAAGGTGAGGAAGGCACGAAGGTTGGTCCATGTCCCAGGGGTCACCCACCTCTGGAGGCCAGATGGATGGCCAAGAAATTGCCCTACGGATGATTCAGGTTGCTGAAGCGGCTTCGATGGCGGCTCAGAGCGCAGCGGAGGCCCTTGGACGCAAGCCTGAGGGGGACAAGAACTGGTTCAGGGTTCTCCCGAAGCCTGCCAACTTCGATGCCAAGACGAGGGAGGAAGAGCTGAGCCAATGGAGGGACTTCAGCTGGAGCGTCGAGCAGTACCTCTCCTCGATGGACGGCGCCTTTGCGGAGGACTTCAAGGAGCTGAGGAAGAGACCTGACACGGTTGTTGACCCTAGCATCCAAACTGACCAGGAACGACAGAGGAGCACCTTCCTTTACTCTTTGTTGGCTTCATTGGTCCGACAGCGTCCACTTGCCCTAGTTCGACAGGTGAAAGATTCAAATGGCATGGAGGCCTATCGAATGCTCATCAAGAGCCTTGAACCTGCCTCGAAAAACCGTTCGTTAGGTTTGCTGACGATGATTTTAGAGTGGAAGCCTTTCGACATGAGGAAGGGAAGCATCCTTGGCCAACTGCTTCGCTTGGAAGAGGCCTATGCGGAGTACGAGAAAACTGGGGCCAAGCTCGAGGACACCATCAAGTTTGCGGTCCTCATGAAGTGTGTCAGTGGCCAGCTCAAGACATGGCTGCAGCTCAATGTCGCAGAGAGTCAGGACTATGGGCAGCTCAGGGAGGCAGTCATCCAGTATGACACGGCCACGTTGAGATGGAGCAGCACGATGATGCTTGGTGGAGAGAGCTCAGATGGCCCTGCACCCATGGAGATTGACCGCATCAAGGGCAAGGGAGATGGAAAGAGTAAAGGAAAGGGCAAAGACCATGAGCGAAAGGGCAAAGGTAAGGGAGATCAGCCCAAAGGGGGAAAAGCAAAAGGTAAGACCTATGGCAAGGGCTATGATGGCGGAGGAAAAGCTCAGTCCAAAGGTGGCAAAGGTGACCAGCAGAAAGGAAAAGGCAAGTCAGAGCAGCCGGTGAAAACGTGCTTCACCTGTGGCAAAGCAGGTCACTTGGCTCGAGACTGCTGGCGAGTTCGACAAGTCAGCGATGAGAGTGGACAGAGCAAGACAAATGCAGAGACAGCAACGCAAGCTTCGACAGGTGCTACAAGTCAAGCTACCACCTGGAAGTCAGGCACAATCAAGAGGATTTCGATGGTGCCAACAGTTTCACGAGTTTCACATGAATTTGATGAGGAGTCAGTTGTTTTCGACTTGAGGCAGAGCGGAACTGGAGGAACATCTTCTGCAGTGAGGGTGGTTCAGTTCTATAGCATTGCTGGTGAGGAGGAGCTGACTTCAGATGGTGGAGAGCAGTTGGTGCTCAATGTCAACATGGTGAAGAGCATGGTGAATGAGTCTGAGATGGAAGACGGTGATGAGTTGGTGAACATCATCATCGACTCAGGTGCAGACGCCACTATCCTGCCGAGTGGCTACCTTGGAGGTGGAGTTGAGGCGGATGAGGACGAGCCAAAGCTTCAAGATGCCCAAGGAACCTCGATAGCCACCAAAGGCTACAGGCATGTTTGCTTTCACTTCGAAGACGAGAATGGCAAACACATCCAGATCTATGACAAGGCTCACTTCTCGGATGGCATATCGCAACCGATTCTTTCCTTTGGCAAGCTGCTCGAAGGAGGATGGAGCATTGATGGAGGTCAGTGCGCAATGACCTATGGAGTTGAGGGAAGCAGATTGAGGATTCCCTTGAAGTTGCAGAACAAGAGCCTGACAGCAGAGGGCTACGTGAGGGCGATTGCTTGTGGACCTCATGTGGTGAGGATGCTGGAGGCCAAGTTGAACAATGAGATGGAGCAGAAGGTTAAACAGCAGGTTGGCTGGAAGCAGATGGACAACCGCTGGATTGGCGTGCATGTAGGCAAGAAGATGCAGAATCCACAGTATGTTGGCGGCGTCCCCGGAGATGTTGACTGGCTGAGAACTACGTTGGCAAGAGTCGATGGAAAGTGGCAGTTGCTTGAGATGTGTGAATCTCTCCATGGTCTACAAGATCAGGAGGAGCCTCTCGAGAATACAGCTGAAAACACCCTGATCTTGACCATCCTTACGAAGGAGGCCATGGCAACTGAGGACATGGGCTTCGAAGTGGATTCAGAGTTGAAGGCGCTACCAGATGAGGAAGTGCCGAGAAGAGAGCATGAACTTCCCGCTGAGGAGCAGCCTCAGGTGGGGGATGGACCAGTGGCTGACGAACCTGGTCCCAGAGTTGAGGAAGTCATCCAGGAAGGACGGCTCGAGCTGGCAGCAGGGTTGCCAGACCACATCATGGTGAACGAAGTGGAGCTGACTGCAGTGAGCAAGCTCAGAGAACTCAGGGCAGCGTGTCGTTTCTTTGGGGTGAGTCAGTCTGGCAGTCGCTTGAAGTGCTATCAGCGACTGGTGAGCTACCTGAAGGAGCGTGAGATAAAGGCGGCAGCAGAAGCAGTGGCAGCAGCTGAGATGCAGGTGGCAAGACGTCCGAGGATGCAACCTGTGATCCCAGTTCCATCTCAGGAGGCTCAAGATCTACACGCGCTATCCCACGTCCCATACCAACCATGGTGTGAGGCATGCTTGAAACATCGTGGGAGGCCAGACCGTCACATGAGGACGGGAGCTTCGAGGATTGGCGGTGTGCCAGTCATCTCTCTGGACTTTGCTTACACGAAAGCTGGAGAGGTGGATAGAGACCCGCAACATGTTGACAGAGGCCAAGAGATTGAGGAGGACATGGTGGTAGACCTCTATGAGGCTGGACAGGACGAGGGCCAAGAAGCAGTGAGGATCCGTGAGGTGAAGTCGACGATTTGGCTTGTCATGACTTGCAGCCAGACGGGAACCCTGGGAGCAGTTCCTTTGCAGTCCAAAGGTCAACTCAATCTGATGGCTAGAGAGGTGATGACCTTTGTGCAGAACCTTGGACACGTCGAGATTGGACTGTATGGAGACAACGAGCCGACAATCCGCACTTTGCTGAGGATCATTCTCAACAGTCGCCACGCTATGGGGTTGAGAACTCGGCTGTACACCACCAAGGTCAGAGACTCAGCAGGAAACAGCCTAGCTGAAAATGCTATCCAGAGGATCAGAGGTTTGGCATGCACCTTGATGGAGCAGGTGAAAGATCAGACGGGACTGCCATACAACACAAACCATGCTTTGTGGAGTTGGGCCGCTCGACATGCTTGCTGGTTGCTCAACAGGTACCAAGCTAGCAGAGGAACAACGAGCTATGAGTTCATCCATGGCAAGGCCTATGATGGTTTGTTGGTGCCCTTTGCATGTCCCGTGTATGCCTTCGTTCGACCTCAGTCTGGAAAAGGTAACCCAAGGTGGAGGATGAGCTTGTTCCTTGGAAAGACGGAGGGTCAGGACTCGTGGATAGTTGGTGATGGATCCCAGGTGATGCTGACGCGTTCAGTGAGACGGGTGGCAAGGCCATGGAGAAGCTTCCTTGCCTATTACCAGAACTTCACCACTGCATCCTTCGAGTACCAGGTCAACTTCGGAGGACGAATTGTCCCAAGCAAAAGGGCAGCAAGTGCTATCCCACTCCAAATGACAAAGGCATTGCCCAAGGAGGAGGTCTTCTTTCGCTACAGAGATGCTGAAGCAGAGGAGGTGGAGCGCTATGCCCTGTCGAAGGAAGGCAAAGAAGAAAGCCGCAATGAGATTGAAGAGGTGACTCAAGAGCGCCTAGCTGCAGGTGAGACTTTGGATGCACTTGAGGGTGAGCCAGCACCACAAGCCCCGCAACATGAAGTGCCAAGTGGAGGAATGCAAACACCTCCAGTTCCTGCAGAGCAAACTGGGGCAAGGGGCTCAGGAGGAGAAGAGGATGTGCCCATGGTGATCCCTCCTTTACCATGGGAAGAGAAAGAACCAACTCCTGAAGGAAGAGCTTTGCGAAAGCTACCGCCACCAGCAAGTGCAGTCAGGGCAGAGCCTGAAGCAAAACGTGCGAGGCATGAAGAAGGCGCAGGGAGTTCATCGAGTGCAAAGACACATCAGCTCAATGTGGAAAGGCGAGTGGAGAAAGTTTGCCTTGAGGACGAGACCATGTACCATCTGGATGAGGTGGTGGATGTAGAAGCCCTGGCAATTGAGGATGGAGAAGATGATGTGGAAGACCTTGTGCCAGGAGCAATTCCAGAAGAGCTGTGGAGTGATGAACCACTTTTTAGAACACCACCGGAACCACTTCCAGAAGTTGACATGTTGGCCAACAAGGTGGAGGAGCAACGACTCATGAGGATGGGCGTGTTAGAGAACCTCAAGATGGAGGACTTTTGGCTGGACAGGTTGACAACCCGCTTTGTTCATGACTGGCGAGTGAAACTCTATGTGCCCAGTGAAGGACCACCTAGAAAGAGATGGTTGAGGAGGTCGAGGATGGTCGCAAGAGAGTATGCCAATGACAAGCGGGACGATGTCTTCAGCCCAGCGTCAGGACACAACGTACTGAGAGTACTACCAGCTTTGTTCTTAAACTCAGTGGTCAACAACGTGGTCATGGAGGGTGAGTATGGGCCACCGGTCATTGGTGCATTGGACATCAAGGATGCCTTTCTGCAAGTGGAGCAGGAGAGACCATTGCAGATCAGCACTGCACTGGGACGCTACAAGGTCCTGAAGAATCTTCCAGGTCAGCGAATTGGGGCAAAGGCTTGGTATGAGCATCTACGCGGCTACCTGGCAGATGAGTTGAACTTTGAGTTCGATGTGATCAACCCATGCCTGGGAAAACAAGGTGATGGGCAGAGTTTGGTTTGCATCCTCATCCACGTAGACGATGTGATGTTTACAGGAAGGCAGAAGGCAGTCGAAGACTTTGTCACGAAGTTGAAGGAGAAGTTAGAAGTCGATGTGGCAATGGTCAGGGAGTATGGACAAGAGTTTTCCTTCCTGAAGAGAAAGTACATCTATGTGGAGGATGGCTTGCTGATCAAACCAGGTCAGTATGCTTCGAATATCATCAAGACCTACGAGGACCATTTTGGACCGGCGAGAAAGCAGAAACTGCCAGCGACTTCAGACATCCAAGATGCAGATGGGTCCAATTTGGCTTCACCAGAAGATGCAGCCATATTCAGGTCCATAGTTGGCATGGGAATCTACCTCGCTCAGGAGCGGATGGATGTGGCCTTTGTTGTCAAGGAGCTGGCTAGTCGAATGTCAAGCCCTACGGAAATCTCACTCCTAAAGGCGCAGAAGTTTGTGGGCTACCTCAAGGAGACCGAGAGTCAACACATCCTGCTTCCTCTCCCTCAACGAGGACAGGGAATGAACATGAGGTCCCATGAGCTTTGGATTTTGGAGTCCTACACTGACGCTGATTGGAGTGGCAACCGAGCAACAAGGAAATCAACGTCTTCATCGGTTCATGCCCTCAACGGCATGATCATCTACAGCACTTCCAGAGGCCAGAAAGTGGTCAGTCTTTCTTCTGCAGAGAGTGAGCTACATGCTCTAGTAGCCGGTGCCTGTGATGGAATATGCCTCAAACACGTCATTGAGTTCCTCACTGGAGAACAAGTTCAGCATGTGTGCTGGGTGGATAACTCGGCAACTCGTCAGATTGCTTGCAAGAGAGGAGCAGGGCGACTGAGGCACATCAGTGGCAAACTCTTGTGGTGCCAGGATCGCGTTGCCAATGGATCCCTAGAAGTCAAACAAATAGGGACAGCATACAACCTGGCTGACATAGGCACAAAGCCTCTTTCCAAAGTTCGCCTACGTTTGCTTCTTTTCTGGTGTCATGCACGAGATGGAGATGGAGAGCGTGTTGGGGAGAAAGAGCACCAGCAGTTCCAAGAACAGCATGTGGAGAAGGGAAAGATCATGAAAGTTGCGAAATATCTGAACAGATTGATGATGGTGAGTGGCCTTGAGCTGGCTGCGGGCGAGACAACGGACATGGTGATGATCGAGCCCAATTACAAGATTCCTTTCTACATGTTGATCTTCATCATCGTGATTGGTGCACTGGTTTTTGGAGCGATGCTTCTTTGGAATAAGTTTCAGAAGCTTGAGAGAAGGGTGGATATGCTACAGGCATATGTCACGCAACTTGAAGCTGAGAAAGAAACAAAGAGCAGAGAAGAGTCGATGGCTCAAGACTTCATGGAGCGCATCTACAGAGGCTTGATCTTTGCAGGTGGACATGTGGAAGCTAGCTCCGTTGCTAGCACAGACTGGGATTACTTGCAGTACCTGGAAGCAGTGAACAGAAAGCATGAGGGGCTGAGACTTCGGCAGCGCTGGAGAGATCAAGAACGAATTCGTGGTGAACGTGGAGGAAGCCTGGAGAGGAGAAGGATTCCTAACCTCACAGCTGACCAGAGGGCTATGGTTGAAGGCCATGGAACTACAGCCATGGGAGCTGCACCACATGAAGGAGAAGAAGATTTGAGCGGTGAGAACCTTAGTGGAGACACTGTTTCGATCCGACTGGACAGCGGCGAAGTGGTCACTATCCCAGTGGAGTATGTCGAGGCTACCACGGTTGGCCATGATGTGGGGTCATCACGAGATACTCCAATGGCTCCAGAACCAGAGCCAGTTCCAGCTGCTGAAGGTGAAGAGAGTGATGAGAGCATGGAAGATGGCAGTGATCAAGATGGTCCACCAAGGACCCATACCGCAGACTGGGAACCAGATCGTGTGGAAATCCCAGTGGCACAGTTCCAAGTCTACAACAAGGCTGTGACGAGAGCAGACCTAGTGGCACGAGAGGAACTTTTGAAGATTGAAGCGCTTTGGTATCACGCAGTTCGAGTCAAAGACTCAGAGCTTGAAAGCCAGATGTATAGAGCTATGGAGGACACTTTTCCATACATGGACCCAGTGAATCCATTGAACTGAAAGGTCCGGTTTGGAGTGGATCCGTGGCTCACACTCCAAAAGGAGGAGTGCGTAACATGGAGAAACGTGCTCACATGTCATTCAAGATGACACAGCACAAATGAGAAGTGTACCAAACAAGGCCGTTGCATCTCAAGGAAAAGGTCCGCAGATTCCTAGATGCCTGCAAGAAATGCAAGTTCCAGCTTCCACCAGTGCTTTTTCCGTAAGACTCCACCTCTTCACCTTTCCCCAGTCATTCTCTTGGAATGGCTTCAGGCATACGACCACCAGCACCACTTCGACCCACACCTCCACCAGTACACTGACGACCGTCACCACCTACAGCACCGTGGACGGACGTTCATTCGCCGGGACGGCTCTCCGTGGCACAGCGGTTTCGCCCTTTTTGGTCGGCCCCACCGGTTGAGCCAAGTGCAAAAGGCCCCGTGTGTTTTAAAGAACGCCAAGTAATTGCAGTGATGTGCATGCTGGGGACATGGTTCACATTTGACGGTCTGTACATGAGATTCAGGTTGCCATTAGGTTTCTTAACATGTTTCTTGCATATTGTTTGTTGTTTGCCTACACGTTTACACTGGTAACATTACGCACGGAGGTTAGAACAATGTGAAATACTCTGAAACCGTACTTAAGCCCAACAGTGGTTTGGGGGTGCAGTTCAGCTTCTCACCTAGGACTTGTTTGTGTTATAGTAACGACACAAGACTTCCAAACTATACGACTTGATGTTCACCCAAACATCCAAATGAATGATTCGTAGCCCCTTCGGCATCCGATGTTTGGCAAGGTACGCACACGACAACCTCTACAACGTCCATCTCCTCTACTTCGAGCACTGTGAGCCGCACCAGCCACACCGAAACCTCAACAACCAGCACTAGCCACACCAGGCCAGGGGGGGACAGGGAGTTCGAGTACGATGTCTTCGCATTCGGGTACACTGATTGCTTCTTCAGACAGGGGAGGTTGTTGAAGTGTGTTGGAGTTTGGTAAAAAGGCAATCAGAGGCCGTCAAAACACATTCTCATCACTTTGAGGGTGCTTGTGTACATTGTTTGTTTACATGAATTGAGCTGGCGCCTGCGTCTTCGTTTGCAACCAGTCAAGCTTAATTGTCATCACACAGCTAGAGTCATGCCAGAGTAGATAGAATACTGGATCATTCCAACATGTGTCATTTTTTGAGTATTATGTAGCAGTTTTTACTCAAACATGACACATGTTTGAAGGTACTTCTATGTACTTCTTCATCAGATATGACTCATATCGACTGTTATTTTTGCTGTAAAGGGCCGTGTTCATCCACACTTTATCAGTGGCGATCACCAGCAATCTCCCGGCCCCCTTTTTCAGGACCACCTCCACCTCCAGCAGCATCACTCTTACCAGCAGCACCAGCGTTTCGACTTCCATCACCAGCAGCACAAGCAGCACAAGTAGCTCCAGTTCGAGCTCAAGTCGCCTGGGATGGCTCAGCATATTTTAAGTTTTGGTTGGCCCTGCCTGCAATGGCCTGCATGTTCTGGAATCACCGGAATCATGATTCACTACATACTGGGGAAGATAGATAGATCTAGTATTGTAGGGGGGGTACTGTTGGTTTCCAAGGTCTCCACATCTCCAAAAGTCGGGTGAACGTTTTCGTTCTTCCTTACTTTCCTTCTTGTTCCTGCAGTTTGTTTCATTATTGTGCTATTTTGATGCTTGTTCTGACTGTGTTTTTCTTGTTCTATGTTGAAGTTTGATTTGATGTTTGTTTCGGGTTGACTCTATAGCGTGCAAGAACAGCCAAGGCAGCAGCAAGACCGGGACCTCCACCAGTGAGACCAGCAGCAGTACGACCGTCTCCAGGAGCTACAGAGGGTTGGTGGGAGGGCAGCTGGGCGGAGTTGCTGTCGCTGGTGAAGGGCCTTAGAATCATCCCAACCACAAATGAGGAACCAAGACTCCAGCACGGCAGTACATGATCAGTAATTATATGTAATTTACATTGCAATTGTAAACTCTATCGATGTTAATTATATACTGGTTTGGAATGTCTACGACGGCCATGATCGCTCTCATCGTTTCTTCAGCAGGTCTTTGCTGGAGCTCTGCGGGCTCGCGTTTTCGATGGTTTGTCCTCGCAGTTCTGTAGATCGTTCCATGGAACTCACAAGGTAGTCAGTGCGGTGTTTAGATCCTCACACACCCAGGGATGCGCGCGTGTTCATGTTCTTAGTATAGCCAGCTCCTTGGAACACGCTATGCCTGAGTGCCGGTTTTCGCTGAGGCATTTGGTCGGTTTTGCCGCCTCAGGACAAGCACCACCACCAGTACCCAGTCGACCAGCTCCACTTCAAGTACCAGCAGCACCAGTAGCACGGAAACGGTGACGCCAATTGTCTGAAGCGAAGCTGGTGTGGGGAGTCTGATTGAAAGTGGCAGGCGATGTGTATCTGTGGCCATATTTTGAGACCTGTAAACATCCGAAACGAAAGACGGACATTCCACAGCTGTTTGTGATTTTACCGATAGTCAAGCTTGTTTGACAGGTCACAGCGTACCTGAATGCCATGACCCAACCCATGGGGTGCATTCACCTATTCTTGTCTCCTCAAACTCATGTGGTTCTTCTTGTGGCTGAGCCCATGATGGTGTCAAGTGTGTGTCAAGTGTCACCAAACAGGCAAAATGACTGATGACTGCATTAGTTTGCTTTATGTTGTATTATGTTGTGTGTATGTTGTGTGTGTAGCAACATGTAGCAACCTCCCCTGTCAGTAGGTATTGCACGGAATCGCAGTTCGAACCTTGCGTGTATATCTAGAAGCCAGAGGGTGAAGAGGGCAGTGGTACCTGCTGGTTGCCACTAAGGACAAGCACCAGTTCAAGCCACACAAGCACCAGTAGTACCAGCAGCACCACCACGCTGCCACTCGAACGTGTCAAGACAGGGAATGGTTGGGAGGCTCAGTCATGCAACAGTACCTCCGTTCTCAAAAGGTCTTCAGGGATAGGCTGTTTATTGCAGAGATGGTAGCCTTCATATTGCATTGGACACAGACATTGTCGGACCAGCAGGAGAGTATGACTATGGTCAATTAGTTATCGTTTTCCTTATAACGGGATGGACATGCGACATGGCCTCGTTTGGTCATGGCTCTTCATTCGCGACAACCGCCGCCCAAAACTGAGGACGGTGCGTTTGGCCGCACCCATCCAGACCACGAACTTCGTGCAGAGTATCATGGTTTGGGCGGATTTAAGGTGCTCTCAGCTTTTTTTCCATAAATGACTAAATCCCCACACCTTGGAAAATTGAGAGATCCTGGAGTATCTCTTAATTTTCCATACCGTTTTGCTTTTTTCCAGGATTCTGGACAGCAAATCCAAGGTATTCTACTGCTGGTGGGGACCAATCAAACTCCAACAGGCGCAGACGTTTCAGCCGCAAAGCTGGGGGAAGCTCTTGCGGCATTGGCATCTCAGTTCTCCTGTACCAATCATGTTCTTTTGAATCCGTAGCTGGCTCCTGCAAATCCCGCTGTGAGCGAATCTCAATGCGGGGGGGGCGCACTCCTTTTTGGATCTGCGGTCGTCAACGATGAATGACGATGGGTGGGGAACGAGGGAACCCAACGTCCGGTTCCAAGGTCCTGAGGAAGAATCGGGGAAGCCTTGGGTTGCTGGCAAAGCGGGACTGTGTCCATCTTCTAAACATACTGTGAGATAATCCAAGATAACTTACAAGACACGGTTGATTTTGTTATAGCTTATTGACGAGATGGATTGCACTTTGCATGAGGACCGTTTCACCGCAAAACTATATATATTCCAGACTACTCCAGACCGAGTAAGCTTTGGTGGTGTTCGATGCCAGCACTGGCAGGCATCGATGACGCTCTGGCCACAGCACTGGCGACCAGTTTCCAGCTGCCACTTGGCGTGATAGGAAAGCTCGAGATGGGAAACAAATGGAAACAAGATTGAAACACGTGGACCAGTTGAATAGACAAGAGAACATCAGCAGCACAAAGGAACAGAGCACTGGTGTTACGGAAAAGGATCCTTAACCTCAACCTCTCAGCCCGACCCAATCCTGGATGAAATAAATGATAGGAGTGTTTTGGGGAGAGGGAGAATGGATGCTTTGGGGATGTGTTTTTCTTTGTCATACTTTCCGTGCTGTTTACATGACTCAGTGCTGGTGCAGTTGTTGCTGTGTGACGTTCTCCTGCGTTAAGATGGTGCTTTTGGTTGCTTCTCTCAGAGATCCCCTCATGTGTACCGATTTCTTAATAACCCAGCTCACCCAAGAACACATGTCAACACCATGTCAAAAATCAAGAGTCCTTATGCACACTATTTGAGTTGGTGGAGTCCTCACTTCAGACAGTGCTCCTATTTTTGAAGACAACAGACAGCCCCAGCTACAGGCTTCTCTTTGTTTTTGCACTTGCTCTCGAGGCTCAAATTCACACATTTGTCACGCCTTGTTTGCAACAGATGCCATGACTTGATGACCTCCATGTGCCTCCAAACGCCCCACCGGTTAGGCAGCGGTCAGCTGTGGACGTGATCTCCGTCAAAGCTGCTGTGGCGGATCCGTGGCTACAAGAGGGGCTAGTTTGCTTGGTGAGCCCACGTTATATTTTTGGACATCCGACAAAACAAGATGTTAATTCTTTGGGTTTTTGCTATGGCAAAATTTATGACCATTGTTTTCGTTGTGTCTTTGCGTGTTTGCAGTTGGTTCTTCCTTTGTGTTTTTCCGAGTCTAATTTTGGGGTGGCTGGAGCTGATAGGTTTTGGAGCACTCTTTTGGCTGGCAGCTCCTCACTTCGTATGTCAAAGTCAAAACCACTTTGATGTTGAGTCCTTGTTCTTAGCGTTCAACATACCTCGGACCTGCAATCTATCAACAACTCCCGGAGCAAACAGCTCACATTCTGGGGTCATTGGGCCACTTGAGTGTGTTTCCAGGGAACAAAGCTGAAAAAAGTAAGAGAGAGTAAGAGGAACAACAAGGTCCTTTTGCTCCCTGCAAGCATTTGAACTGTTTTTTCTTGCTGGTTGGCTTGAGATCGTTTCTTGTTGCCCCTTTCATCAGATGGGCTCAGTTCATCTGAGAGAGTTCATGACGAGTGATCAGGGCGCCCATCTCGCATCAGTCGCTGAAAGTCAGGTACTTTTCGGATGTAAAGCATGTCATTATTGATTGATCAATAAGCATTTGTAAGCAGAGCTTGCTTTAAAAACAAAAACATAATTATTGAATATCATTCAATGATTGGTTTGGGCGGTCCTCATGTGCAGGGATAGAACTGCATTTTGTTTTTTTGGGCAAAGCCTTTGCAATCAAACTGAGTCACACCTAAGTTATGCACAAGCAATGTCAGGTCCAGCCACAGCTACGACGTTTCCATTTCCGGCCCTGCTTGTCCGAGGCCATGTTTCGGCCTGAGAATGCACGACGTTTGGAGGCACGGGGTTTTGCCACAAAGAACAGATCCACTCAAGCATCCTTTTTTATATTGGCAAACAGACAATATGGACGTGATGCGGGGTGAGTTCAGGTTGGTTGCTACTTATTACTACTTATTTGATGACATGAGCAAGGTTATACCGTTATACCGATACCCCAAATTCTGTGGATAGAACCCAACCGCTCGGGTGCGTCAAAGACTTAGAGCTCCAGTCATAGGGCCATGATACCCAAGTCGTGGCCTTCCCACGCAACTCGGAATCAAGAAGTCCTTGCTGCCATGGATCCATGAAGAGCCATCCTTGGTGTGAGATGATGCCCTTGCGTTGGCTTCAATTGTTTGAGTTGTTTTTTCATGAGTTGAGACTTGTTTGATTTAGTAATCTATAGTAGTCCCCCAATGAGAATGAATCGGTTGAACAGGTGTTACTACTTTCTGACGGGATATACAGACAATGTTACGTACTTGTTCTTCACGTTGCCCGGACCAGGAGTGGTGATCAGAAACTTGAACCTCAAAAGTGGTAATAGTTTCTTCAAGAGTGACCGTTTCAGGGGCTCAAATCCCCGGACCAGGTGGAGGCGCTGTGGAGCAGTAGTAGCTTAAGCCGGCGCACGGCGGTGCGGAGCAGCCTAGAGCCGGCGCTAGAGACAGAGTTTCAGCAACTGGGTGGCAGGAAGTGTTTTTGCTTTTTTTTGGGGGGTGTATTCCTTCAATTGGGCCAAGCACAAGACTAGCACGGTCGAACCCTTGATTTGATGGGGGATCATCAATTACCGTGCTTTATCGAACTATGGGTTGGCTGTTCACTCAGTGTCCCATTTAAACAGCGGTATTTTGTTGAAGCGTCCAGGAACCCAAGAGCCCAATTTGTCAAACCCAAACAAGGAGTTCTCCCTGTTGGTTGCCTATTCAGTCTCATTGACCAGTAGTGACATGAGTTGCTGCGTTGCTACACGGTTTCCTCAGTTGTATATGTCTCATGGGGAGCTTTGCCCAGTCTCAGGCGCGTACGACGAGGTTCAGTGGAGGGTTTTCGATCGGCGTCTTCTAACCTGTTGCATTTTGCAGACGGTGAACGCTTTTACAGTGGTTTCAGAGTAGATGGCACTGGCACCCCTAAAAATGTCTTAGACAGATGGGGGTCTATATTTAAACTACTGACATTGGGGGCCCTTGTGCCATTGAACCTCTGAAACCATTGGTTCATGAACGCGCTTGGACGTCCGCCCAGGCTTCGAGAGGTCACGTGCGGTTCCCGTGCGGTATGAAGCCGAAAGAACATGAAAGAACCTCGTGCTGTTGAGCCAAAAGATGTGTACAACAGGTTTCTCGAAATCTGTGAGGTCATTGGCCATTGTGAAAACCAACATGGGCGTCTACTGCATGTCAAGGGTACATGGTTGATCTTTTCAGCATGTCATGAGCATCCACTGCCGTCACCTTACCAAGCAGTCCCGCTGGCTCTCACGCTGAAGAGGGTCCATCTCACGCTGAGTCCAGCCACGGTGAAATTAAGTCAAACGCCAGAGGAGTTCGATGTGGTGGATGTGTTTGACGAGAATGGGTACCGCGGAAACGATTTATGGAACTCTTGGAAAGGTACTGTAGGCGCTGTAGGTGTTGTTTGTTGAAATCCAAAATTGCTTGAGTTCTTCATCGAATTCTTCATGGAACAACACAGTCCGACTTGAGATGTTTGAAGCTTTGGATGCCACTGATAAACTACATGGCATGTGTGCATGTATGTATATGTGTTTTTTAGATTGGAACACCTATATATAAGATGTCTGGGAAGAGCAACATAAACCAAGATGATACAAAGCCTGTTGTGGGAAGGTCGAGTGCCACATTGGTTTCTGTGGAAAGTCCTGAGGCTGCTGCTGCCAGAAGGTTCAGGCATGACGGTGGACCAGGCACGTAGAGACTGCGTTCTGCCTCGCAGAAGTACTGCTTAGACAAACATCTTGCACCGAGTCAATGGAGTCCTTTTCCACCATTTCCAGGCGTTGTGTTGGAGTCATGAGTCTTCAGGACTACCCCCCCCCGCTGTCACAGGTCCACCCACCCGCTCTTGAAACCCCACCAGATCGCGATGCTCAGCGCGCGCGTCAAGCGCAGGCCTTGGCGGCCGTGAATTCGGTGAAGGAAGACCCGGAGCCGCTGATTCCGTTGCTCACCGAGGTGCGGTGGCTCCAGAAAAGCCTAAAGAGCCACGGGTGGGCCATGAATTGGTGGAATACGCGGGATGGATGGGGCGTGTATGCGGGGTGTGGTGTGTGGCAAGGAATTGGCTCAGGGATGGTCGGGGTGTGTGGCGGGGAGAGTTGATGGGTTGGGATTGAACGTGTTGGGTGTACCGATGTGTACGGTCTACGGACCGCATATGAATTCTGACGGGGTGAGGAGAAAGAAGAGAACAACATGAAATGGATTTGGGATTTTAATCGATTGGATGAAATGGATTTGGGAGTTGGAATTCGGATATGCGGCCGTTCGCCGGATTCGACGCAGCTTCGACATCTGCAGATGTCGCAACCGGCCATGGGGTCAACACAAGTGACGCGGTATCTACTAGGTCCATGCCCGTCCAGGCCTATCACCCGCAAACAAGGCGTATGTTTTGGGCTGTGGCCATGCGGAGTACATGATCACATGATATCACATGTCTTTGGTTCATTTTTTGTGGTCATGGGGAAAGGTTTATTGGAAGTTGGAAGTCTTTATAGAAAGTATGGGACAACGTCCTTTTGATTTGCCAGGCTCGGAGACCTCGATTCCAGTTGTTTATGTTCCAACATGGGCCCTTACAAGATGGAAACGCGAAGCAGCTGATTGAACCACGTGCAGGCGGTTTCTGGTCCGTTTTGACATTAAAAAGGAGCGATTGAAGGACAAAGAGAAGTTCGCTCCAAACAGAAAAATGCTGTGCCATCCTGTGCCTGAAGATCTACAGTACTTTTACCCAAAAGTGAGACATGCACGGATTGGACTTGATTGGACATGAACAGGGATCAGTGTCAGCATGTGTTTCTTTTGTGTTTAATTTGCTGCTCATATGACGGGACCGGTGATTTGACAACAACTACAGAATACAGTTGTTTGTAACTTACTAAGTATGCAAACTTGGCTTGTCAACTTGTCTACGCAATGGGTCTCGCTCGTGCAGCAACATGAAACATCAAGACACTAATGAGCACCACCATCGTCACCAGAGTGAGTTCCAGTTGGAGGTGTCCTTTGTTGATCAAATGTCGATTTGTTTGTGTGGAGTGCATGCAGTGTGCACCGTGCAACCACCCGTGTTTGGCCACTAAGTTTGCTGAATGCTAGCAAAATTGCTCGTTTAGGTGGCCCATGGACAATTTGCAGTGTAGGGCAGTGGGGCAGCCTCCAACAAAGTCCAAACAAACACAGTGGCATATGGCGTTTCCGTTGCTGAATGATTTTGCTAATGATTTTGATGAGGTCATCCTGGGTTGCCAAGGGTGATCCATCAGACCAAGTAGAAACCACAATGACATGCCCTGGAAGACCATGTTTAACACCTGTTTCCTGTTTGGGGAGCCATTTGGAGCCTCCTTTTTTGCCTTTTGGGTCCACCAGTTTTCTCCAGGCCTTTGCACAAATCGGCGAGCCGACGGATTCCCCGGAGTTCGTGTTTCCCCGGATGAATCCATTGACCTGGAAGAACAGTGTGGGCAGATTCGTAGGGACGTCATGATGAAAGACATCAAAGGGGACTTAAAGTACGTGTCAATCCTTGGGTCCTTGTGATGAACATGAATTCGTATCTCATTGGGAGGAATCCGTTAGAGACTAGGGATTGTTTCAATGCATGAGTCGTGTCTACTTAAACCGACCGTTCGGGCTGGGCGAAATCGGCTGTTTCACCGTGCGTTGGACGGACCCGGACCGGACCCGTCTTCGACCCTCCCTCTCCGAAGCAACAGTGTCCAAGAAGCAGAAACACACCTGGATTTGGGATGATCTTGGAAATGCTCCCAGGAAGATCTTGGATCATGTGGGTCAAATCTAGGAAGATGGAGAAAGCGAGGGAATTCCAGGCAGTGTTTGAAACACGCTATGCACATGTTGAGCTCAAACAGCCAAACAAACGTGAGTTGGTCACAGACTCACCGCAAAAACAACCAGTGCAGGACGGCCCTGGCTGATAGAGTGTCTCGTTGCCAACATACTTGTAGCCTGTCGCAATCAGGAGCATTTGTAGTCAATAATAGTCGATGTTCTTTTGGCAAGTTTCATGCCAGCCTAAAGCGAGCATGAGGACTGTCACAGCAACGCTTGCATGAGCTTGTGACTGTGAGGAATCTCTTGTCCGCACCCAATGCGGGTGACTTCAGACCATGCTGGTATATGCTTGCTTCCTTCAAGTTGTTGAGGAGCATAAGCGAAGCATCCGGCCTTCGCTTTGAGCAGGTGATTGAGAACTATGGCTTGGCAACGGGAGAAAATGCATCTCGGCTTTAGAATCTGCAGGGGATTGCAGGGTTGGCAGAATACAAACGAGGCGCTGACTGCAAGAACCATGTCTTCTGCAGGTTAGCCTTCGCTTCACCTCTCCATCTTCTCAGCGCGTGGAGTCTGTGCACCCTGGCTGATACTCCCCACCAGTAGGGGGCAGTGTTGCAAAAAATTGATGTTTAACTTAAAATTTGGTCCTTTGCAAATATCATATTGCGCACCTCAAAACTAAATGTCGTTCCAAAACAGTTTGTTGGCAGTACGAGAATGTTGGGTAGTAAGAAAATGTATGCTTGTCCAATGTGCTCCAACAGAGGTGATTGTCCTAACCTGCTGTGCGTTCAGACTTGTGAAACCTGTTAAATGGAAATAGGAACTGTTTTTTTTACATCAGTTCCTTGATATATATATATATAACTATATATAAATGACCGAGTTTCTACAAATGTTTTTATGTTTCCCTACGTTTCTGCTTATGATGTTCCCCACAAAACTCAGGTTTGTTGCGTCACGCTGGGGCCCTTGCGGAGGCTTTGGGGTTGCTGCCCTGCAGCAATGACGATCGGGTATTGAAGGACCTTCCGCTGCTTGAGCCATGTCAATCCCTTTTCTCCCATCAATGAACCACAGCAACTGCAGCAACTACTCAGTTGTGTTAAATTTTTGCAATCAATCGACTCAAAGGTTTCCAGTCTTGAGGATGCAATGCACCCCAAACGGGTGCTCGAAGTGAAACAGCTGTGCATTCAATGGTTGCCTGATGGAATACATTACGTGGAAATTCATGAGAATTGCAAATACGGGTCTGTTTGATGACAATGATTACCTTCTGGGTAACAGGTTCATGTTCAACCGGGAATGATGTTGCCGTGTCATATAGTACCCTGGCTACCATATAGGAATCACCCCGCTCGAGTTTTCAGTTGCCCTATGACCCACAAATTAGCAGTAGATGTGCAAATTGACCTTTGCCACGCTCATACATATAAATGTGGCAAGACACACACGAACATGGCCTACATAATAATTGGGGTGATGTTCTTGGAGGTGCTTTGGCAGTGTCTATATTCCTTGGGATGGTTGGTTTGTAGTGTTGTCTAACTAGTACCAAAAAGCTAGTAAGTTGGAGGCCATCGCTACTAAGCGTGGAGGCCATCGCTACTAGTAGCAAGAAAATTGTTTTTGTATGTTGCTACTGGCAAATCACACGTCACCTCACCCTCCGGCTGTGAAGCCAAGAAAACCTGGGCAAACAGGTTGCAAAGGTCTCCCGGGTATTCCTTGAGACGTGTAGTAAGCCACCGCCCTTGGGTGTGTTTGCCTATACTGGTGCCGGTAGGGAGCTCAGTTGTACATCAAGTCTGAAACATTCGAGCAGCCGCTTCCCTTGTTCACAACTTAGCGCTGTAGCCGCTTCCCTTGTTGAAGCTGTGTCTTCCCTTGTTCAAGACGTTGACTATGGTGCTCCGATGGGACCTGATTTTCGCTCTGAGACTCGGAAGGCTGTGACTGCCAATTCGTTCTTTGTGCATATACGAGCCACAAGCGACACGCTCTCGGCGCACGTAAGAGGACAGAGTGGTTGCGACTGACGGACAACACACAGAGCCAAACTCCGTTCGGACACCAACAGCTAAACTGTTGCAGGCGATGCTGTTTGTAACGATTTGGAGATCCCCTTGAGGCCAGCGGAGTGATGCTTGGATTGGTCCAAAGCCGAAAAGGCCATCCTTTTGGGGAGCGATTTGATTTGCCCAAGACATCCTTTTTCGATCCTCCAAGGATAAGGACTGGCTTCGGAATCCGTTGATCCCTCAATCGTCAAAGCCCTTGAACTTTTTTTTTACATGACGTGTGGTCATCAGTTGAAGCAAGAACCCCTTGATGTGTTTGTGTCAACAGGGGCAGGTTTGCATATGTCCACATACACGAAGCTGCATTGCAGCCTCTCATGACGAGTGAAGAAACGGTGGGGTATGTGCCGTCAACTCACTGAATGAGTTTGCCCCGAACTTCAAGTTGTGAACTCTGTCTTTTGCAGCCGGACCTCTGTGGGGTTGGGTCCATGGAACCGGGGGGTGGGATTGGCTTGGGGTGAGGAGGCTTGGCTTGGAGGTTCGGCTTGCAGACTGCGAAGCCCTGCTTGGCTTTCTTGGTTCAGGACCTCAATGTGGATGGGTGGCAAGATGGCTAGCCGTTAGCCTCTTCCAATGAGTAGGAACTTGGCCCTGGCCCTGGCCTCTGACTTTCGGGCCACTGCCCTCACTACCCAAGCAAATCCAAGGGCATTGCTTATCAATTTAGATCTGATACCCTTGCTGCAATTCCTCGGGTCCGGCCTCCACCGTGCGTAGCTTCTTGTTACTAACAGCAATGCCAGGAGCGCCCCGAGTAGCGGACGATCGCTCCGTTCGTAGCGATGCACCTTGCTACTAGTAGCTACACAACATTCACATCATCGCCAGGTACCGCGAGGTCTGGTGCGCCAAGGTTCCAGACTTGGCGACCGTGCGGCCTGACGGCTTTTGTGGCCTCAACAAGCCTTCCAGCAGTCAGCCGTGCCCGGACCACCTCATGAGGCTGGCTACGGCTAGGGAGACACCGAAGGGGAGGTGTCTCAACAGGGTGAGGCTGACAATTAGTAGATGGCAAAGATTGATTGATCGAAGTGGCCAAAATGAACTGGCGGCAAGTCGCAAGTTCCTAAATGGCCGACATGGATTAAAAGGTTCTGAAGCAGGAATCAATGATGGACTCTGAGAGCCTCAAAGAAGCGAAGTAAGCAAAGTTCCACGTGGGAAGATCCGAGCGACCGATTTGATTGGAGAAGAAGGTAAAGGCGAATCCGGGCACCCAGGCATCGACTTGTAGTGTCTTGTATACAGTAGTTGTTTGACAATGTCTTGTTGGCAGCGCCGGCGTTTGATCAGGAGCCTGACAGTAGATCCTGCTAACAGTGGTGAGGGTTGGCAATACCCAAAAAAGCTATACACTTTGTTCGACACATTTGAACCAACATTAATTCCGTTTTGCATGCTTTTGGTAAATATAAGATGGTTCATTACCAACCAAGCACGTGTTTGCGTTTGTTTACAAGTTTGATTCGGCATGTCATTGTTCTCGGCCAAAGAATTGTTTGTTTTTGATGTTTTTCTCGCACCTGCATGTTCGACCAATAACATGTGTATCTAAAGAACTTCTTCACAGGGGGTTGTTGGTAGGGAGCCTGGTTTCCTTTTTTTGAGCTCCACATACCAAGTTGGACAAACGACTCTAGGCCGCCGACCTGTGGTTGGCAGATCTCCAGCTGGTCCAGCTGCCGGTCCGCCACCGCCGTGTGCCACGGTGAGGGCATGCAGGAGCGCGAGGCCCCGAAGAGATTTGGGGGATCAATTTTTGAGTCCAACTTGGTCAGGCCGATGGGCTTAGTATAACAAGACCTGAAAGAATAAACAAACAAGAGCAATCATTTGGTCTAGATCGACACGTTTTTGTTGGGGGTATGGTTTAGTGAACAAGTAGTCCATTGGTTAACATAAGAAAAGCTTGTTTCATGGCTCCAAAGGTATCAGCTCTGTTGAGACTCCAAATATTACTTACCCCCAAAAGCAATATATATATATATATATCATGTATGATGGATTTCACTCCCACAAAACCCCACTCCTTTCCAGAGGACATTGATTGCAAGAGGTTTGCAATCAGGCAATGCTTGAAGGCTTTATGGCATTTGTTCAGGAATCTCATGTATGGCATGTTTATACAGTTAGCGATCCATATGTTGGCACGTGCAAGTGTCATGCTGTGGGTCTCAATGCCAAGTGCTGCAAAGCCTTAAAGTTCAATGATTGACGCAGCTCAGTTCGATGGGAGACCCTCTTCTCCTCGTCTCAGGTGGTTTGCCTCTCCAATTCTGCCGAGGGCTGCAGCGGCCCAGAGCCGGCCAGACGACGGGAGTGTCAATGCCTCATCACGGCACGCTTCCGGGCATTGAGTCATTGAGCATTTATCACATGGGTGACACTCGCGGGTGGGCGGTGATTGGTGGGTGGGGGAAAACGATTCCACATTGTTGAGCTCTCTCCGGCTGCAGAGCAAGACTGGCCAAATGGTCTATACCGGCAAAATGACATAGGTCTCACATCATCTTGCCTTGAACTTGGGACAGATCCAATCATCACAGATTGAGACCACAGATCCTTGAGACCGGCCAAGCCACTTCCGGCAGGTCACCGGCGAGGGCCAGGGCCCCGACGCCGACAGCGGCAGCGGCCTGGTTTGTCAGAAAGTTTTGAAAGGTAGGATGTGCACGCCAGATAGATTGACCCAAGACATCTGAAGACATCGTGCAAATGATGATACTGATACTTTAAGATGTTGGATCTTGCTGTTCAAGCTGGAACATCTTTAGATGACCATGACTTGGAGCTTTGACGCTGAGGTTCTAGTGATGAGACGTCGATCCTGGTGATACTGCCCGCGGTGCTGGGAAGTCTCGCGGGCGCTTGCTGCTGCTGCATTTGCCTCCTACTTTGTCTTACAAAACGAGGACAGAAGAAGGCTGCGGGGGCTGGGGGGGATGGGGAAACCAGGAGGATTCGTAGAGGAACACCCCATTTTGGAGCAGCGGACCACCGTTTTGCTTCTTTGGGGAGTCCCTTTGGCTTAGGAATGTGGCTACTGACACTTGTCTTTTCTCGGGTTTCTATAATGAGCTCATCCTTTCAGTGTTTGCTTTCTATTTTGCTGCCGAGCGATAGTGAGAGAACGAGAGATAGAGAGAGAGAGAGAGAGTTGCTGTTGCCCTGAAAGAAGAACTTGAACTCCATACTGCTGGTAGCATGCGATCCGCATGCGATCCGGAGCATGTCACAACTCTGCACTAAAGCTGGAACGCCAATGCCATTGGAATTCCAGACAACGGACATGTTCCTCAGACCCACTGGGCTGTGTTAGTCTGCAACCGTGTGTGCAGAACACCACAGGGTGCACAACAGCGCCCCTCCACTCGATGCCCCGTTGCTCGGGTACACGGCGCCAGGTGGCAGTGCAGGATCCCAAAGAGAGGCCGATCTGGCAGTTTTTATGCCATAGACAGACGTGTTGAGATTGCAGATGTCTAAGGAATTCTGACACTGCAAGGATTGGCCGATGGGAGGACCCCAGAAGATCTGAAGATCAGTGTAGACCTGAAGAGACCAATGATTCCCAGCCAAGATCTCGATTGCAGGTGTCTCAAAGGCAACCTCTTGAGTGGTGCCTGAGTCATGTCTCTCAGAAGGTCTCAGAAATTTGAGTCACCAACTTGACCCCGTCTAAGATCATTTAAGTCTAGAGTCTGTACCGCTTGCCTCAAGTCTTGATTACTCCTCCATATGAAGCCTTTGTTCATATTCTGCTGTTCGTCATGGTCAGGTCAGAGAACACTGAGGCGCGCTGCCTGCTCGGTTTGGGCTCGCATTGAAGAGGGCGAAGCCCTGTTGAAGTTCGCCCAAACACACTTAAGAAGTCTGAGAGACTGAGTGCAGTGCAGTGCAGTGCCAGCGGCACCCAGTACTTCCGCCCACGCCGCACTTCGCCCCAGGAGCCCTTGACGCCCGAGAGTCCTTCCTCCCGCCCGGCGGTCGGGGAGCTCTTGGCGGAATGTGAGCGGCGACAGATCTCCACCAAGGCACCGGCAGCACGGGGCATGATCTGTCGGAGATGGCGGTACAGGTGGAATTCCTGAAAGTGGAAAGATTGGTGCTTCTGCTCCTCGGGAGGGTGTGAAGATGGCTTCATGGCCTGAAATCCAAAGAGAGGACCCGGTCCGATGTACAAGACATGCAAACGGTTTGTCTCTGCTCCGGACAGGCCGATGGGACGATGTCGGTTTGTTCGTTATGGCACTTGGCTCTATGCCCAATGGACTCACGCCAGATGGTATAATAATGTATAATATATATATAGCATATATATATATATATGCATGGATGTGCTGTGCCTTTTGGACCTAGGAACCAGTGGTGTTTTGATGCCTCCCCCATGAGTGAGCCAGCATTAAAACCCGGTCGTTTTGTGTGGGGATCCATGACTCCTCATAGTCCTAACACCAGGACTCCAGGACCTAAGTCACCAGAACAAAGTCCGTTTGACCTATAAGGAGTGGCGGTCTGTGCTCAATTTTGTTTTTGTGATTTGAATGCCTGCAGGGGTGCTTGGAGCGTGCTGATCTTGAGGAATTACTTCAGGACTGATGCATCACAAACTTTCAGGATTGGAAAAAGGCTGGAAGCGGAATGTTTCTTGAAGATTCATGAAGAATTCCCCAGTTTAGGCTTTCTCCTGTGATACTCCTCGGATATAGGCGGAGGGCGGAGTCGGCAGTGCTAGGAGCCGGAGCCACCCAGCTTGCGCAAGGCGGGTCGATGAGTTGGGTCGGTTTTTCACACGCGGCTGGTGATGTGGGTGGTGGCTGGAAGTGAGATATGCAAAGGATCAACCCCAGAATATCCGAAACAAGAACAATCAAGAACAGGCAACATAGGTCAGTTGGTCACCTGTTCAAAAAGCATCGGTCACCAGTTGAGACCTCAAAGCAAGTCTCTGGGAACTGGCTGGGCAGACCTAAAATCAGGTCGCAGGTGCTGTAAGTCATCAGAACTTGACGAACATTGTTTTGGATTATGCCAAATGGACAAGTAACCAGAATGGATCATCCCTTCTTCACTGTGGGCCTTTGGATGTGTCCCACAGCTGTGGGAGCTCTTGAATTTCCTGGCCAGTTCGCTGGTTCACCTTACATCATCTTATATCCTCGAAGCACCTCGAAGCGACATGGGCCAACTCGACCGCCAAAGCTGCTCATCAGACTCATTCAGTTGAACCAAAGTGCTTTGGCCCTTGCAGGCAGCCACCGCTCCGCCCTTGGAGCTTTGGCTGAGCGAGATGGGAAGCGATCGCAATACCTTTCGTTGTTTGTTTGTGTCCGGCATGGCCCAGGCAAATAGATTCAAACGGTGATATATGTATATATATATATACATCTTCTCAGCAGTTAGATCTTGGACCCTGGCAAGGCAGTTGACTCAAAAAGCATCAGAAACTTCTGAAAAGATCAATTATGGAATCATGGGGTAGCTGGGCAGTCCCTACCTTCTCAAGATGCCCTGGGTTCTTATAGGATGGAACATCGAAGTGTTTTTTGTTGGCTTGTTTCAGTCACCTGGCAAGCAGAACCCAACCCAATTTCAGATTCTCGGGGCACTTAGCCATGTATACCTATCCACATCGTCAACACTGAAATGTGTTGAGCACCTGACAGTTTGGTGGTACAGCAGCGACCTAATTCGTGGTGCTTGCCACCGGATTTCCCTTTAAACAAGCAGACACTGGACGACGATGACGATGATGGCAACATTGGTCCCCACTGGTTCTTGCAGGTGCTACTTCGAAAAGCTGAGGGCTTTCAGACATGTTTCTTAGAAACGTCTTATGGGCGCAGACCGGTCCCCTGGGTTGAGAGCAATGGTGACTCTCGTTTCCATAGTGTCTCTCCGTTGGAAAATCAACTCGTGCTGCCATGGACTCTGAAGGCCTTGAGGGCGAGATTGCCAGCCATACGGAAGGCGATCCCCACACGGTCAATGATGGCTTTGCCGGCATTGACTTAGAAGAGGAGATTCCCAAAGAAAATGAACACCCTTTGGGACAGAATGAGGAAGATGAACAGCCTGACCACACTGCTGACGAGTCTATCGCTCGACGTGAACAGCTTATTCGTCTGATGGAATGCTTCCAGTCAACCCGCCCTGAGATGATTCGCGCTGTTCGTGTGTACCAGATGTTGATTTGCTTGGGACAGGTGTTCTGGGCGGCTGGAAGTAAGGATTTTTATCACTTCAGCGAAGCTGAGCAGCATGTCGACGTGTTTTTGAGCCATAGCTGGCAGGTGAAAAGTTGGCAGAAGATTCTGCTGTTGATGGTCTTGAAGAACCTCTTACCTGCATGTGTGATTGGAACTCTTGGATCTTTGCTCATGATGATACCTTGCATGTTCCTCAAGCTTGGAGTGCAGTTCTATTGCTGGTGTTCTTGTGTCGGACTGATCCTGTGGCTCGTGACGTTTGCTTTTTGGAGATCGAGAAGCACCGTTTTTGTGGACAGAATGTGTATCAATCAGTTTGACCGCAGCATGAAGGCTGAAGGAATCCTAAACGTTGGAGCTGTGCTTAAGGCTTCCAAGTCCCTTTTGGTTGTGTGGGACGAATCCTATGCAGATCGACTTTGGTGTATGTTCGAGATAGCTGCATTTCTCAGGGCTCATCCAGAAGCGGTCGCAGAGAAACCAGGGATGGTCCAGGTCAAGCCTCTTTTGCTGGGTTGGACAGCGTGCCTCGGCAGTGTTTCTATGTTCGCACAGGGCGTTTTTGTCCTGGTGGAACCGTTTGACAATGCAATCTTTTGGCCTGTGGTGCTCCTGTTTGCCGCCATGCAAGCCCTATACCTCGTTCATGCCTTCCGTGGATACTTTAGATCACTAGAGGCCACCAATCAGCGGCTGCGGCAATTTCAACTGCAGAAGTGCCGTTGCTGGTGTTGCAGTGTCAATCATGTAAACCCTGCGAGCGGGCAGCCAATTCAGCTCTGTGATAGAGAAACCGTTTGCCAGTGTATCATGCGCTGGTATGGCTCTGAGGAAGAGTTTGACAATTCCGTCCGGTCAGTCGTTGCCTCCGCGCTAAAGCAACAGATGGGAAGCGATGCAATTGAGTATCCATTAATGCTTGGGACCACTGCGCCAATCTTGTGGTCTGTTATTGACTTGGCTGTTTTTTGGCAGTCTCATGATGACTTTTTCCATGTCCCACTACACACCATCAGGGCTTTTTCCATTTGGCTTTGGACGCTTCCAACCGCTGGGACTTTTGCGCTTTTTTTCGCACGCTGCTTCAGGGCACAGGGGCAGTCAATATGCACAGAGCTGTTCAAAGATTTCCTGGTAGTCGCTTTGGCCATGCCCTCGCTTATTTTCTTTGCTGCGTTGGAAGGGTTAACATTTGTGCTCCTCGCGGATGAGTGGCTACAAGGCGCATGCATCGCAACCTCGTCCTTTTTGATCTTTGCAGTTGTGAGGAAACACTACCATGCCACCAATCGGCGTTTCTTTGGTTTTCACTGATCCCATGCCTCGGAGCACGCGATGCCGGTGAACGGGCCTTGCGTGGTTTTGATTGGCAAACGGGCGCTCGACATGAAGAACAAGACCTGGTGAAACCAGGCTTTGTGATCACCCGTACCACCACAGAAAAGGACTCGTCGCAGTGAACATTGGTTGCTTGGCAAGTCTTCACAGGATGGAAGGCTTGGAACAAAACTAAGTTGCCATCGTGCAGACATGCTGGGACTTCTTATTCGCTTCATTCATCTTTATTCAGCTTGATTCAACCTTCAGAGTGCATGCGATTCTGTCAGAAGAGCATGGAAACATATAGAAGCAAGTCATGGATTTCTGCAAGCAGGTTCACACATGTGACTTCAAACATGCAGTTTGCACGTTGCATCATAAAAAGCTCAATGAAACATTGAAGCTCAGCTTCGCCTGCCTTGAGGATCGGCCCTCGTCACCCATGTCACCTTCCCGTGTGGGGCACTTCCCGTCGCCAGAGGTGCGTGGTCTAAGTCACCGCTCCCGAGCTTTGTTTTTGCGCCGACATGGCTTTCTTGGCATGACATTGAGTCAAATCACTAACTGAATTACTTCGGTAAGGCACCCAAGTTGGCCAATTCTTGCCGCATCCAAGACTTAATGAGTACTATTGGTTGAGAGATGTTGAGAGCTATTCTTTCCAAGTTCCGGAAAACAGCAATGAGATCTCGAATTGGTTCTGTCTCAGGTTGACACCGGGGGGACTCTACCGATGGTCTCGCTACAGACTGCGGACGCGCAGGACCACTCCCCCAGCCACACACGGAATGAGCCTGAGCCAGTGCTGACCTGTGCACGGCCATCGCCCAGTGGTACGTCGGCCACTTGATGGATGCGTGACACGGGGGCTTTGGATGCAGTGGTTGAACACAAATTTGTGGATCGACTCAGAAAAGTTGCTGTCTTTTGCCGGAAGGTAATGTGTTTGTTTAAAAGAATCTATCTAGGTCCAGGTGATGCATCTGGGGGAATGACATAATATTCCTCAAAGTACACTGACAGTTCTCAAATGGATCCAGTTCTATCTCACGTGGAAGTTGGTCAGTCATTCCAAAGAGTGAAAGGTTGGATGTTAGGAGCTGATTTTTGCCGATCACGGGAGGCTTTTGCAAGGTCTAGGAGGGCCATTTTAGGCCGCCGGCCTAGGCATAGCCGAATGAAGCCAAGTAACTCTCTTGGGACTCCCCAAAGAGAGGTTCTCTGTCTAACCTCGTCTCGAGAGTTTCAGGAACACCGGAAAGGGACCGTTTGACGTGTCCCACCTGTGCCGGGTTTTTGCAAGGACGTCTCCACGCGTCAAAGCGGCTCTCCGATCTCTTCGAAAAGCTCCACAGGCGTTCCGCCTCCGCTGCACGGTTCGGCTCTGGTTGAAAGCGAAACGGGGGCGCTGTGGTCGGGAAGGACTGACTGGTTGAAAGCTGGACGATCACCTGACCCCCCCTTGATCATGTTGTCGGATGTAATTCCAGATGTTTTATTATTTTTTTCAGGAGTGTTGGGTGAGTTGATTTTGCGAAGTCAGCGATGGTGTGGTTAGAAGATGTTAAAAAGGAATCTGTCGAAGCTGGAGCTTGATTTGTTGCGGGCGCCAGGCGCGGCCTAGCAGGAAACCTCCACTTGATGCAGTGAGCTCCTTATTGTTTGATCCACTGGACCTGATGTCCAAGTACTCATGCTACTCAGAAAGTGTTTCCTTGGTTCATCGTTTGTTCATGTTTTTCCAGGTTGTGTTTCCTCAAGATGTTCATTCACTATTTGTTGTTGTGGATCGCAGCGACCCTCGCATCCTTTTTTAGGCATGGTAGATCGTGAGATATCTCAAAAACATGAGGAATTCCGTCCGTCATTTTGCCCATTGCCATAGCAGAGCAATGCTTGTTTCATAGCGCAAGTCATGCACTTCGGTCATTGTTCTGTTCCCTGTCCAAAGCAAACATGCTGATGGCAGGATCAAAGACTTTGCTTCTAGATATGCTTGCTTCACCTCTCCTCTTCACCGGAGGCCGCTACGATGGATCCGTGGCCACTCCCAGCTCCCAAGAGCTCCATCAGAAGATACCTGCACCGCCAGTCGCCGCGGCGGTTCCGGGTGCGGTGCCCGCCGCGGCTCCTCCAGTGGCACCAGGGCCAGCGAGCCCAGAGCGCAAGCCCAAAGCGTCGCCGAGCCGCTCCAGTTCAGCCAAGCGAGTGTGGAGCTCAGCAGTGCAGAGTGGGGTGGGCTTCTAATTCATCAAGGAAAAGCAAGACTCGGGAGACCCCCAAAAAACACAATGCGATAAACACCATACATACACATGGATCATATATTGTAGGTAGATCATCATAGATCGACACGTCTTTGTTACTTTTGCCAT